TCATCGCGATATGCGCTTAAATGTAAGTCTACGACCGTCATCTGTCCTCTCCGCCTGCTCAGCTCAGTCGGGAGAGCGCCAGTCTGCTGAGCGGGAGTTCGCGGGTTCAAACCCCGGCTGGGGCAACACTCAGGAGACGTCTGCACGTAGGCAAGAGAAGAAAGTGTATCAGAAACACGTCTGAAGGCAAAACCACAACGACAACGGATCTTTAGTAGACCTGGATCAGTAAAATCTTGAGTACCAAATTTTAAACTTTTAAGTACTGTTTTAAAAAACAGTAAACTGATATGATCCTTACGGCAGGAAGAGAGATAGAAAAAATAAAGAAAGAATACAAAAATAAAGTGGTGAATTATATTTGCGCGATATTTCCGTTGGCAACACAAACCTTCAACGAGGGCTGTGAAAAAAAAATGAATGATTAGCCTCAGCTAGCCCCAGTTAAAGGTTTGTGTTACAAACCGAAATATCGGGCAAATATAATTCACCACTTTATATTTGTTTTCTTTCTTTATTTTTTCTATCACTCTTCCTGCCGTAAGGATCAGTTCACTGTTTTAGAGAAGAAAGGGCTGCCTTTGTGATGACATTTGCAAACGGTTAGACCTTCTAGTCTTCTCGGATAAGGACGAAAAACTGTAGGTCCCGTCTCACAGCACTTTCACTTAGCTGGTTCTTGAGGGACGTAAAAGACCCCGCACCACTGTTCGAAAAAAGCGGGGGACGTAGACCCCGGTGGTGTGGGCAACCTTTCCTGGGCTGGGTGGGTTTTCTGTAAAGAGAGATCTTTTATAGAGATAACCTCATGATCCTCCTTTAGGTGTTGTTATAGCTACCTGTAAACAATGTACGTAAGAGGCGCAATTTTTCGCGTTCTTCGAGCGAACAATCTGTCTTCTGTCTGGATGGGTTTAAACGGCTGAAAAACGACCTAGTTACTGAGAGAATAGCTCACCAAATAAAGTTCCCCAAACCACATTCTTTCACGCACATGATCATAATATTATTATTTAGATGGTAAGATGATAAAGCTGTTATGATATTTGAGCATGCGGCTTTCAGAGAAAAATGATCTAGAAGCGGTGCCATATTACATGAAAATGTTTGGCTCCAGGGGCGGGTGCGGAGGGTGACCCGCTGTAAAAATGACGATGGTGGTGTCGGAATCGAAACAACCCAAAAAGGTACAAGAATCTACAGTAGACTCTCGATAACTCGAACCCTCGCTAACTCGAACCTCGCGCTAACACGAACCAAAGCCTATTTCCGCTGGATTTCCTTCATACTTTTACTGTAATTTTACCGTCAGTAACTCGAACTTCCGCTTACTCGAAGTAGTTTTTGTTTCCCCTCGGATCATTTCTACAGTATTTTACCCTCGATAACTCGTACCATGTTTTAAGGTCTTGAAAAGATCGGAAAAAAAAGTGTACTAGCGTCCGAAACATTGAACCTTGACGTGTTTTGGCATATTACTAGTGGAAGCTGATGTTGTTTGTCACAAATCTAACATGAAACAGCTTTACTTCTCAAAATGCTTGCTCTATTTAGGCTATGTTGTCGACTCGTTTTGTTCCGTTACGTTCTGATTTATAATCTAGAAGTTTCTTTGAATTTTCATTAACCATTTTTTTACAATTAAATGTGATTAAAATGTTCTCTGTACGGTAAAAAATGTTTTTTTTTTCTTCTTTTCGGCTGTATTTTCTTTGAGCTCCCGATAACTCAAACTTTTTTCGAGTTCCCTTGAAGGTTCGAGTTATCGGGAGTCGACTGTACTTTTATAGGAGGAGGAGAGGCACCACCTAATTTTCCATAAGAGGAACCTTCGCGGTACCAATTCAAAAATAATACCACGGTATAGTCAGTGTAGGTAAATCGACCCGACGAGCTCCCCGTTAATTTTTACGGGGGTCCCCGGGGGTTTTGGCTTCAGTGCAACTCCACATTCTGAACAGATTTTAATTCTTGAAATAATTGACCCTGGGTTTGATAAATTTGCATAGAAGCATTTTAAAAACTTTTCAAAAGGCAATAAATTGTCCTCTCTTATATATATAAATTTTTGGAGGGGTTCAATTACAAGTGCTAAAAATGAAAGCAGGAAGAACATAACAGCACACGTCAAACATGCATCCTGTCGGCCTTTTCCTGTTTCATCTAAACCAAGGCGGGAGAATGAAAGACTCTGGTTGCGCCGATATAAATGAATCATCAACAAGGAAGGCTCTATGAGCAAAGTGCAAAAACTACGACCCAAAAGCGAAGTTAATTTGTCCTTATAATTTGAATGTAGTCATTTCCACCTGCAGCTTTACAAACTGGAGTGTTATTACCGAATAAATATAAAACGAACCAGTTATCTTTTGTTCTTGTTTCGAATTAAAGAACACATTAATATTGATATTTTCGTGAGGTTGAAACAACACAAACCGGATTTATGGAAAACGTGTAAGAAAATGTTCTATCAGGATAACGAACAATCATACGTCAATGAGAAATACGGCTGAAACTAGAAGTAGAGTACTTGATACAGGACACAGTCGATACATCCTAACAATCGATCACACTATGATTTCCTTAAGATGGAGGATCACATCACATACGTGATACACGAGCGCTAATTACCCGCTTGAATAACTTACTTGAATGAAATCTCGATTTATAACAACCTCAAGTAGCCAGGCAATCCAACACGACGGAAGATTCCTCTTCCCTTCACAGACAACTTTTTGGAGTATGTAGTAAGGAAACTAGGCAGAAGCCATGAGCGTGGATCTCGCGGAATGTGTATCCGTCGGCGTTATCGCTGTAAGTAATTTCCTCGTGTGCCCTGGGTTCAAGTATTCCAAGTAGTCTGGGCGAGGGGATAAATTTCGAGGACACGCGGACACGCGTGTTTCCCACGCGGGTTCTATAACAACTAACCAAATAAACTAACTGGCACCAGTCACACAGGCTACGAGGTTCAAGGCAGAGTTCAAGTGATGCTCCAGTTTAATTTCCAGGCCAGGCGTTTCTCTCTTCGATAAGTCACCTTTTTGATGATGCAGTGGTGGATCCAACGGGAAGGTACGGGGCGTCTGACCGTCCAATCGCGCGATCCAAAGACCGATAAAGCCGGTATAGGATCATTTTTTGAAATGTACGAAACTCTATTTTTTTTCCACTGAAGGTTCGTACGCAAGGGCTAGGTTTTTTAAGTTTGATGGCAAGTTAGTGTTATGGCGAGTTGAGTGTAGGCCCGGGGGGTACTCCCTCATATAAGCCAAATAATAGTTATGCCATAGGTATGCCGCCCCAAAGGGTATAGTTTATGCGCCGTTTCGGTCTGAAAACGTATGGTTTTCGAGAGAACTACGGGAGTGCATGAACGTATTTGTCGTTTCTATTCCAATTCAATAAGAAAGAAAGATAATGGCAACTTCATTGACTTTATCTTCGACATGAAGATTTCAGTACCAAAACAACAAGAAATGAAAAAATAATATGCCAGTTCGAAATGGGTCGTTTTAAGAAACCTTTTTGTTGGCGTTCTAATCTCAGTAAATGAAAACGGCTCTGGAATCTAAAGGCTAGGTCTGAGAACGACATTTTTTGGCCCAAAATAGGGTCAGGATTTGGTCGGAATTTGGAGAATCGGGCGTCACACTGAGCACACTCCCCACCAAGAATACCCAGGAGTGCCCCCACCACCGGAGTTGAGGAAGCAAGGACTGGACGTAAACATTCCTGACGCTAACGTAATCTAAAAAGCTGATCGTACTATGTAAGGACTGCTGGTCGTCAACATTGGACTTTTGTCAGACCAAAAAAATTGTAAAAGAAATGATAATGTATCGGTCAAATCGAAACTTCAACATGCCCCCCCCCCCGGGCATACCCCGGGCATTTGACACCTTTGCCGTCCCGGAGAGGAGGGAATTTGATCATCAAAGTCTTCCAGGGGGTGGGGAATTTGATCCCCATGCTTTAGGGGTGGGGAATTTGAACTCCACCGGTCCACCCTCGATTTCATGTAAAAGCTATCATGGGGGACACGGTGTTAGAGGATTTTCGTGGAAAAGATTGTGCCTTTGTGGCCAATTGGTTACGAGGAAAGGGCTTAAACAAGCTTTGTGCCGTATTTGAAGTATTTAAATTTTAAAATTTTTAATATTGGATTCAGGCTTTGAATGTATGAATGTATTTTATTGTTGTGTTTACAATGAAGTACAATACCTATACCGGCGATTCAGTACAACAACATAAAGCAAAATAAAATAAAATAAAACGGTCAACTACTTTGACCTACTGCAAGTATGTTAATTAATAAGGTGAGCGATGATGCATGCCAGTGAAATGGTCATGATGTTGTAATCTCAATAGGTGGGATCTTTTTTTATTCAGTGACCTTGTAGCAGCGATTTCCACCGCTTTGCACGAGACTTTTGTTCGTAGTAAATACGCTAGCAGTGTTGCTCAGTTTTTGTTATATTTAGAAAGATTTTGTTCGACAACTGAAGGCGTTTCCGCCGTACTTCTGTCATTTTTGTGCCCGTGAAATGTCCCCGGGGTGGGGGCATTTGATCACCTGAATGGACCCTAGTGTGGGGCATTTGAACGGCATTTTGGCCCGGGTAGGGGGGAATTTGAACAATAATTTTCAAAAAAGTCAAATGCCCGGGGGGTTGCCCGGGGGGGGACATGTTGAAGCCTCGATTTGACCGATGCATAAGCCCAAACGAACTGTAGCCTGATTGCAGACGCCCCCTCCCCTAACTGAATCGGTTTTTTTAGGGAAGGGGGCGTTTGTACACAGGCTAAAAGAACTACTGCAAAGCTAAAACTATATTTTTTCAACGTCATTGCAAAATTTATAATTCCATTTGCGCCGAAAGTCGTCAGTCTCGTCCCCAGGGTCTTCCCTGTTTTCAACATGGCAAAGTGGTCGGCGGGGTGATTTCTGGGATAGGGAAAAACCCTATTGATAACCTTCCTGAAAGGATCGTAGAGAAATGGACGTCAGGCTTACATTACATCGTGTGGCTATTGTTAAAGACTTGGAACCAAAGAAACACTGGAATTACCTGATTCAAGAAGGGGTCCTTAATGATGACGATCTGGAAGAACTTAAAGCCGAAAAAACAAGGAAAGCCCAAGCAGAACTTCTAATAGCAAAAGTGTTACGTGCGGGTCGCCAGAACATTGATGTTTTTGTGAACTCTTTGAGCATTTATCAGCCACATTTGTGCGAGTTACTTCAGAGTAACTTACCAGAAAGGCTGCAAAGACAACAAGGTAATTATATCGAGTCTGGCAACTGTACTGAAGTCGTTTTTGTGAAGGGTTCACGTTTTGAAGTGTTACTTAAACGCTGCATTTGCACCTTTGAAGTGTTTCAACACGTATTGCATTCTTCAGTAAAACCTTAGGTAAAGGGTTCCTTCAGCCTTTCGAAACTTAAGGATATTAGACTCCATTTTTATTTTGGCTCGAAGAGGCAAATGTTTCCCTCCCAACAGGGCATGATGTTTTCGTTTTTTCTTTTAACTTCCTCGCGCGGGTTCCAGAATCCCTAGGGATTTTCCCATCATATGAAATTCACAAATAACCTGAAACAGGCGCCAACTGTAGCTCAGAGATACTAAGCTACAATATTGATGGGGAAGTGTGAAGATCAAAACCAATTTAAGGTTTAAACTTTGTGTTATTATAACGGCTTTCATTTTCATTTCATTGAATATAAGGTTTATTTGCTTACTTTTTCGTTGTTAATAATTGTGATTTTCATGCCCTTCTCTACCAAAATTTCCAAAAAAATGCGACAACTTCCAAACAGTTCTGAGGATGTTCCAGTGACTTTCAAACATCACTGAAGATTTCCTGTGATGTTCAGATGATTTGGGTTGCTGAATCTATATTGCAAGGCTCCAAACCTTTGCGCCATCTTGCCAAGATCTAACCTGCACCTGATGCGTTTACTTCACGAGTCAACTGCCACCCCCTAATCAAATTAAGGTATCTGTCAAAATTTGTGTTATCATGTACTTTACAGGCAAGCAGTGAATGTTAAGTTCATACGGTAGTCATTACTGAAAACGTTACAGATTTTAAAGACCAAGTTAACACTGCTGTTGTTGCAAATCTTGTCTTATCATTGCCGTGTGGTACCTTTGTTCAAATCATCAAGTCAAAAAAATTAATAATTCATTGAAAACAATAGTGGAGCAACCGAATTCTCTATTTTACTGGAAGTGGTCAAAAGTATGGGGATTGATTCTGCAGCAACAAATCTTTCATGGTCTTTCATCAGTTTGCAAAAGTGCGTGATTAAAATCGACAATAATTATTTTGTTTACACATTTTTACACAGTTGAACTCAATCGGAAATCAAAGACAACAATTTTGCCTCGTATGAGCTAAAAAGCGTTGAAGAAGAAATAGCGGATATCCTTACTGGTGACAAATAACAACTTGTCCTCATCTCAGGTGTCAAGGTTTTTCTCTGTTCGTTGTTGACTTGATTCATTAAAAAAGTATTGAATTTTTTCTTTTAAGACCTAGCTTTAAAACCTAAGCTTGCTGTTAATAGAATTCCTTGATCGTCTCATCGCCTATCTATTAGCTCCAGAAGTCAGATATGTTGCTTGACCAATCAGGGCAGGGCTCTGAAGGATCGTTTGTTTTTCGACCAATCAGACAGAAGTCCAGATCCTGGATTATGGGCAGACGACGCGTAAAGTAAATGTATCAGGCATTATGCATATCTCGGCAATATTACCACGAGGAGAGCTATTGTGAGACTGAGCACTGAATAAGTAGTCCAGAATTTTGAGTTTGGGGTAAAAAACTGACCTGTACGCGTGGGATCAGTGTCTTCAATTTATTAGCAGGCATGTTGCATGATCGACTCCTCCTCAATATATGCGAAAGACCAGTTTTGAAATTTAGACTAGGGTCAACTAAACCCCTCTAAAACAGCCTCAGTATAATACCATATTAAGTCTGGAAAAGTTTTACTTGCATGTTACTAAAGCTTGATTGTGGAAATTGTTTCGATTATTATTCTACTATACAATGAAGTGTTTCTATGAATTTATTCCTTCATAACTGTACATGTCATGACTCACAAGAATCCCTCCTTAATGCTTGAACAACCTAAAGGTATGATTATGATATCAGCTGAAAAAATATCACCAAAAATAAAGCAACTTTGTTAAAATCAATACATCAACTTTATAAAAATTATAGTATTATTTTGCCAAGGCAAAGAAGCAGTAAGTTATTCCGTAACCACCTAACACATCTGCACACAGGTAAGGTACAGCTTCAAAAGTTAATTTTACATAAAGATTTTATGCATGAGAAGATTTTGGGCTTCGCTGTCTTTAAGTGTGGATAACAGCTAGTATGTTGAATGTGTAAGCAATGGTTTTGTAAGGAACATTAAAGCAACATTTTTCTATTTTTTTGTTTGTTAGGCTCTACTCAAGCAACTGTAGAAAATGTTACACAGCAAATAACTGGCTTGCATGTACATGTTGAACCTGCTACTTTTGTTCGCGAAGGTAGAATTGTAGTTACTGAATAATTTCTTTGTGCCCCAACATGCTTGTATTTAAGATCTTTGCTCTAACTGTCAACAGTCAGTAAAACCAACAGCAGATTGGTTTTCCTTAGCCTGTGTGGCAAGTATTTCCTTGCAGTTTTGGAGGATAGAAAGACCTCCGCATCCCTCCTCTTTTAATCTCCCAAACCTCATCGAAACGCTTGCTACGCAGACAAGGTTTCCTCAAAAATTCCATAAGTTTAAATATTGCCGGTTAAACTGGAAAAGTTTGTTAGGTCCACAAACTCCATGCATTGTGTTGTGAATTAAGCATAAGTGTTGTGAAAAACATCCTTTATGTATGCTGTATATTAAGTGTCTCATTATTATACCAACTATAATAATGTTATGACTGTGATTGGTGATCATTGACTGACAATAATGTGATACCAAGGACACATAGTACAATTCAACTAAAGAGGACAGCAGTAGCAGTCAAAACAAAGGGATAACACCAGGAAATTAGTCAGAAAAATGTTATTATAACTTAATATTATCAAGTTTGCATGAAAAAGATTTGACGGTGGTCGAGGGTTGATTCTGGAAAAACTTTGTGTACCTCCAGAAGTTTTATAGCTACGCACATAATACAGTAATAAAGTAATATTTTTTACCATGAATTACTTCATACATGTATATTAATGATCATTTGCTATTTTTTTAAGCACTCAGCCCAGTGGAGCATGAAGGTGGTGAATATCCATTCACTGCAAATGTGGAAACCAGTAAAATATCAGATCAACAATCAAGGCACACAACACAACTACCACCAGATGAAGAACAATGCTTTTTTGTGATTCCAACAGATTTGAGTAAGCTCCCAGCACACATTCATCCCAATAATGCTGAAGAGGTCTACCCCATGTCATCAAAACCGCGAGGAATTGCGCTAATTATAAATGTTGAAATTTTTGTCCCCAATCCTGAAAAGACCAAGAAGGAGGAGGAGAAAGAACAGTTAGATAATCGTCAAGGGTCAGATAAAGATATTGAAATGCTGGAAAAGTTGTTTGGAGCACTTGATTTTAAAGTAAAAATTGAGAGAAATCCAAAAAGAGAAAAAATCCTTAAGGTTTTGGATAACATATCCAATGAAGATCACAGTAACTATGACTGTTTTGTGTTGTGTCTTATGAGTCATGGCTTAGAGGGGTTTGTCTATGGTGCAGATGGAGAAAGAGTCCTTCTAGAAGATGTATGTGGTTTTTTTAGCAATTCAAGGTGTAGAACTCTAAAAGGAAAACCAAAACTCTTTGTTATTCAAGCTTGTAGGGGACGTGACAAAGATAAGGGTGTAGTGAGGGATTCACCGGGTAGCCCTGAAACTTTACCTGGTAACCCTGTGACAGAAGCGGCCATTAGCAGCGGCAGTGCTGATGGTGAGGATGACGTTGCCGACCGAGGCTTTCGTTTTTCAATTCCACAATATATTCCCGACCAAGCTGATATGCTTATGGCATATTCAACTGTCAGTGGCTATGCTTCATTTAGAAACCCACGTGACGGAAGCCGTTTTGTCCGTTGCCTTGTAGAAGTGTTCCGCGAAAAGGCAGGTCATGAAGATGTACTGAGCATGCTCACTATGGTGAATAACAGCATCAGCAGCATGGGTGAAGTTGATTCCAAACAAGTCGGACAACCAACTTCAACCCTAACAAAGAAGCTGTTCTTTTGGCCAGGGCTGTAAAACAAACTAATCATAGTAGTACTAGGTTTAACCCTCTAAAGCCAGTCAAGTGCTCCAAATAGACCTTGCAAAAGTAACTAACACCACAGTGGCCGATCCAGGCCTTCAGGTAAGGGGCGGGGGAAGCGCTTTAAAATATTGCCAAAGGGAAGTATCAGTTTGCCTCAGTCAGGTGGGCCTCGGCTTTCGCTTTCATCCAAAAATAAGGGAGGGACCCGGGCCCCTCCCTTGGATCTGCCACTGCATCATGCAGAGCAGGTGGAACTCCACAGTAAGACAGCAGCATTTGAACCACAACCTTGTTGTTACGACCTCAGTAATGATACTTGGCCCAAATATGGATGACACCCGTACACTTTCTTACCTCTAAAAGCTTATTTTTTGTGTCACTATGGAGTGTCATTGCAAAATTTCATTTGAAACTTGGAGTCACCTTGTGTAGCATAACTACAGTGTTGTGGTGTACCCATATGTTAACCTACGTTAATTTTTGCATTATTATTGGCCAAATATGGAAGTACATTTTCTTACCTCCAAAAACTCATTAATATCTCACTCTGGAGTTTCATTGTGAAATAAAAGTCACGTTGGCCATTTTTGTTAGCCTTGTGTAGCAAATTTTGTGTAGAGAAAACCAGTATCTAGAGTGGAGTAAATATTTTCTGATTTTAGTGTGTTTTTTTTCTGGGGGACGAAAAAAAAAGCAAAAAAGTAAAAACTGTAAAACTTTAGTGCCACAAGGCAGAGACTTTCAGTTTAGGCAGCTGAAGTATCGTTAGATGCACTGTAACTAAAATAGAAATAACTCTTTCAACACAAGCTGCAAATTATGCTCTTAGACAACATTAACTGCAATAAAAGTAAGAGGAGTCAAAAGTTCGTTTTGATTTTTATTGCTCATGCAAGATGTCTGATTTGCCCCGCCGACTACTAGCCTGTTCCTGGGCTCTCAGCCTGGGGAGGGGGCACTTGGGTATTTTTTGGGTGGATATGTGCCACCCGGGACTCCAAATTGGCACCCCGCTCTAAAAAAAACGCCTCTGAAATGGATACCCCGTTCTAAATCAGGAGCTTCAAAATCACGACCCCGTTGGGCGGCACATACCCGTATAGGTAATGTATGGGAGTACCCCCCCCCCGGACTCTCAGATAGTGGGGAAGGCACGAAAGCAAACAATTCTTATGTAAAGTACCGCAAATGATCCCCAATATGACCAGGTGAAATGATCCCCCCGGAGAGGAGCTGGGCATACGCTGCCGCTGTGAAAGGTATGGTTTTCAAGCAGTTTACACTGGGATCTGAGAAATTGGGTCTGGAATAGGGTATCATTTCAAGGAAACTGATCAATTTGTTAAAGAGTTTAGTCTAGACTAGGGAAACCGGGAATTGCCTCCCAAAAATATTTTAAAAATCAAATGGGCAAGTTTAAATTTACGCAACTTAGCCTAAATGCTACTCTGGGATAGGGGGGATTTGGAGAGTTAATTCTAGTTTTGGTAGCAAAATTCAGCTGAACTAGCTCTGGTATAGGCAGAGGTTTCAAGGGTCCCAGGGACACATCCCTAACCAAAAATTCCTAAAGTACCTGCCCCCCATCCTAAGAATGATACCCATTGTCGACCGCAAATGATCCCGAGAAGAAAAAGCTAATGGCCTGGACTCAAGTTTCTGGGTCAACGTGTCCAGTATTATCACAAAAATAAATTTGCAAAGAAAGTAACGTAACTGTAAAACTAAACGTAAAACTTTGTTTAATCGATGTAATTCAATAAAACATAAAAAAAGGTGAACAAGAAAAATAAAAATAAAAAGCATTTCTGAAAAAAGAACATACAGTCGACTCACGACTAGAACCATGCGCTATTTAAACTCGAACCAAAATCGATTTCCCTTGGATTTCCTTCACACATTTTACCCTTGGTAACGATAACTCGAATCTCCCGCTAAAATAGAAGTAATTTTTGTTTCCCTTTAAAAAAGAAATACTTGCCAAATTTTCCTACCCAAGAAAATCCCGGAATCGAAAATTTCAAACCCCAAAAAATCCTTCGAACAACAACAACAACATAAGCTTTATTTGCATGACTATAATTATGTAGTTACAGTATTGCAAAAGCTTTAACATAAAAAAAAAAACAAGCAAACAAACAAATCATAACAATGATAATGCAATGCAATGATTACTATAGTCAATCAAGTGTCATCAGCATGATTTGATAACAAATTATTACGTAAATCATTACATAATGAGACAAATTTCAACAAATGTGAATTTACGGAAAAATTCTGTGAATTCATCAATTTAATTATTAATTCTGTGTAAGATAGCTGATTAAAGTCGACAAAATTTTGTTGGATTTGATTGTAGAATTTCTCCCTTGGGATTGAGTATTTTGGACAATGGAAGAGAAAATGAATCAACCCCGTCGCTTGAGATCCCACTACTCCCCCCTCCCCCCTCCCCTCCCCCTTGGGGCCTCGACACGCGTTAAGACCCATCTCCCTCCCACGCAAACGTCGCGTTCCCGTTTAATACTAGGGACTTTAAGATCCAACGACGCGACGGCGACAAGAACGTCGCTTAAAAAGTGAATTTGCGTTCTTTCAGTCTTTATAGCGATTATTCCTACCCACTTACTTTGTAAATTGTAGGCGAACCCTCCTGAAGCTGAATTTCAAGGGACCATATCCAAGCTCAGAAAGAAAAATAAAATTTCGTCGTTGGTTGTTTACGTCCTCCATAAAACGCGAAATTAGACATTTTCACGTCGTAGTCGTGCAAAAACGGGAAAGAAATGTACAAAAAAGTGTGATGCACGTGCGAAGTTGTTGTTTTGCTAATTAAACCTATTGTTTTTTTGACGTCCTCGTTGTCGTCCGCGTCGTTGGATCTTAAAGTCCCTACTTCCCCACCACTGTGAAGAACACGTATGTCACAAATGGTGTTGTCTTTTATGACGTGGTTCCAAGAATTTTTACCCATTATCCCCTATTCATCTGCTCTGACGCATAAATTTTGCCATGTCATCCGCTGGTAGAAATTGTCAAAGGTTTGCAACGTGGCGTTAAATTGGACTAGAGAGGGAAATTATACTGAATTTTATTTGTCTGTGAACTTCACGGCTGAAGGTTACAGGAGAGCAAACTGTGCATCCTGAAAAGAGGTGAGCTGTTACATTTATTTACAGCTTAAAAAACATAAAATCGGGCGATTTTGTTTGTAAATTTCGACCGGAGTTCATGCTTCCTGCCGGCGGATTTAAATCTAGGCATAAGCTTCTGTGTGACTTATGATCAACGTATTTTGTACTGTCAGTCGAGTTTTCAGACTTAACAATTGCCTCGAAGTGCATGATCCTAGCCCATTGGCCAGCAGTTTCCTACCTATTAAGATGCTGTTGATCTTCTAATTATTTATTGTGTTGGCGCTTCTTCATGCAGTCAAATAGTGCTTAACTAGCTTTCACATTTGGGGATTTATGTGAAAGCTTGTTTTCTCGAAAACTGTAAAAATTACGCGTAGCTTTTTATGCTGTTTTATTGTTATTTGTTTATTATTTTTTTGTTTCAGTCTTACTAGAATATATCTATTCCATCGTGTGATATGCATTCTAAGCTTATGATTTCATGTAACTTAATAATTTTATTTTACAACTATAGTGCATGACAACTGTTGTCAAATTTCCATGTTATCAATAAGCTTACTTTATAAGAAACGTTTATTTGACAGAATCCAAGATAACCGGTGGATACTTGATCTGGTCAGTTTTGACTCCTAAAAAGTAATATTATTTTTTACTTTCCATCCCACAAAAGTTTAAATATGGATGATGCTTCAGAGGACAGTCGGCCAGCTCAGCCAGGCGTCATCAAAAAGTTCTTCTTAACAATTTCAACAGTAAGAGATTCTTTAGCTATGTTGCTTAGTTTTATTCCTGGAGTGATCACCATCTTAATTCTCTTAATTCATTAGAGTTCATAATATTCTNGCCAGCTCAGCCAGGCGTCATCAAAAAGTTCTTCTTAACAATTTCAACAGTAAGAGATTCTTTAGCTATGTTGCTTAGTTTTATTCCTGGAGTGATCACCATCTTAATTCTCTTAATTCATTAGAGTTCATAATATTCTAGACAAGGACTAGCGAAAATTGGGTTTCACTGGATAGATACATTTTGATAAACATCATTCTGTTGTGGTTTTGTTAAAAACGTTGAAGTGAATAAATCATTACCATGTAAAAGTTCTTCCTAAGAGGTTCTATGGAATAACTGAATGATAATACACTGAGTTCACCTTCTAAGCATCTGATTCCACATGTAGTTTCACGTGACTTTAGTAAACAAACCCCGAAAGTTCAGACTTCCATTCTCTCCCACATACTGTACTTGCACAAAGTACGAATCGCTATTTGTTCGCTATAACAAGGTTTATAATCAAGGTTCTTTTTCATATACATGTATTTACAGTTACTGGCGCAAAGAACATCATGTCCAAACCTTAGGTTTTAGTTTACAACAAAGATCATCAATAGTGACATGAAACTACGCATGTAATCTGACGCTCAGATCATTGGTGAATTTGGTCAAATTCCCCTTTTGATCATCAAGTTTATATAAGGCAATCCAATGGAGAATCTAGATCGTAATTTGAGGTCACTTAGGGCTCTATTCTGGGCACCCATTCATTATTTTATAAGTACTCGTCAATAATTATTAGAATTATTATTCTTTTTCTAACCTTTCTATAATGGCCACCTCTCCACAACAGTGACAGATGATCTTGTCTCAAATTTTTCTGATTGTTTTACAAATTAGCTTTAAGCAATTTGTAGAGAAGAATCTTTAAATTGATCATACATGTAAGTCACTTTTCCCGATATATACATTTAGTCTTGCACATTTGTCACTGCATGCCAAACTTCCTGAAATAAAATTACCTTTATTGTAGAGATACCAAACATTTCTTGATAGTACAGTACCTCATCTTCTTCCAAGATGGATTTCAACTCTTGTGATGATGATTGCATTCCTTGCAAGGATTTTATACGTACAGGTATATTAACATGTTTATTTGACGATACCATATTCAGGGTTCGCAAATACGCCAAATTTGGCGTATTTTATGCCAAAATTGTTCAGATGACTCCACTGAGGTTATGGAGGGAGTCACTTCCACTCCAGAAATTTTCAGTAACAAACATAGTTTTGTCCTTACCTTTTTTGCAACAAATACAATTTACGTTAATTGTAAACATTGTAAACCTTGATTAAATCATCGAAATTAAAGAATGATACCGCACGGCAAAACAGGAAGGGGTTAAATTATGATCAAAGTTTACTCGATGACCGCCATCATGGATTTGAGCTTTCCAGGTCAGCGGACCGCCACATCTATTTCATGTATCACTCACGATAGTTTATGCACGCCGGACCATGTGCTGGAAATTCTGAAAATGGTTTTTCTCGTCGTGATACTTGACTCCAAATATTCCAAAATGACTCCGAAATTTGTGAAGCAGAAGTCACACTGACTCCACTCATCAATAAAATTTGCAAACCGTGCATATTTTAGCAAAACTTAAAAGACTTCTTACAATACCACCCCTTTAACATAATATTGTTTCCTTTCTTTACAGGGCTGGTACATAGTTACATATGCACTTGGCATTTATCAACTTAATTTGTTTATTGCATTCTTGACACCAAAGATTGATCCTGCACTAGAAGAGTTAGGTGAGAGTGACATAGGTGTGTTCTTTTGAATACATTTTTATTTAACAGGGTTCTCCTGAAATTTTAAAGTAGAAGGCTTTTAATCCTTCTACTTTAAGGACTAGTATTAACCAAAGGTTACGGAGTGCAGGCGACAATGATCAAAGGTTAAAACGCTTTTGCTCCAATGTTGTGAAACTTATGCAAACGTAAGTTTCACATTACAGGTGGTGAAAACATGCATGATCAAATTACGAGTTACTGAAGGTCCAAACGTTTCAGATCAAATTGCATTCTGTGCATTCTATTCATTCTTAGTGGAAGTCCAAACAGGTGCTGGCTACATACATGTGACGCATTTGTAATAACACCCTGGAGATTAGGATTGCGGGCTCCTCTTGTCACCCACGACAAGAAAACGCTTTGGGCAGCAAAATACTAGATCCATGAAGGGGAGCACCTTCATGAGAGTCCACCCACACCCCCAAAGAAACCCAGTTAACCTGGCCCTCAGTGTACATATTAACGGGGTTTGAATGTATTGCTATGGATTCCTGAGAGTTTTTTAACTTTATAAGGTTTTTTATCTTCTTATTCTTAATGTCAAACCTAACAGTTGGCAATATGGATTTCTATTTTATATGATTTATTTATTTTTATGTCAATTTAATTTATCTTATTGTATTTCGCAGAGGAAGATGGTCCAGAACTTCCCACTAAAGCAGATCAAGAGTTCAGACCATTTATCAGAAGATTACCTGAGTTTAAATTCTGGTAAGATTTGAACAGTGAAGATTTTATTATTATGATGATGATGATTATTATTATTGTAGTCCTGGACACAACAAGAATGAAGATATTAATGAGTTTACGCGATAGGACAACAGAAAGAAGAGGAAAAACAGTAAAACGTTTGTGTGTGACAAATGTGACAGGGCTATTGCTTGGATGTTTTGTCATGATCTTCACTCACATTAACGTTTTCTGGTCTTTTACAAAAAGATCTGTTTGAAGGAGGGTGAAGTTTGGTAAAAACTTTTTTCAAACAAAATTATTGTCACACTTGTCACACAGGGTTTGCCATCTTCTTTCTTCTCTCGCCCTGTTGCATAAGCTCACTATTACTTGATAACACATGGAATGAGCAAAGGGTTGCCTGAATGGTTGGTGGAGCCAAGAATTGCAGCCAAGAGCAGTGATTTTGTTACCTCTGCATCCTGCATCCCTCACACATAAAAATCCCCAAAGACAGAAAATAATTTGTGATATGTGTCACATAGGACACAAAGTTCAAATTATCGATCTGAAGATGTCAGGACTAACCGTAACTATTTGTAACAAAATCACTGCAAGAGCAAAGTATAACCATGGCAATACCCTGAGTGGCATTCACCCTGAGGCACTGTCTCACTTTTGACCAGCCAGTGGAACCTAGCGTAGTTACCATAATACTTACCAAAGGAAAAGAAGGGTAGGGCACAAAATAGGGAGGATCTGGGAGTAATAGGGTTGAGCAACGAACTTGGCAACGCGAACGTAATGGCCTGACCTCTGCCAAAAAACTGTAAAAAACCTGAAGGCCCCTGCGAAGCCATAAGTGTGCCCCAAAAATCAGAAGTGAGAGACTGCTAGTCATTATTGTCTTAAGTTAAACTTACCCTAAATTTCATTAATAATATTAAAATGGTAACAGGACTGAGTGTCATCCAATTTGGTCTGTAATCATACAAGTGTTTATCAAAATCAGATGATCGCATAGCGGGACACTGATTTGTTTAATCATAAGTATGTTTACAGACCAAATTGAATGACGCAAAGTTCTGTTACCAATTAATCATAACAGTTACTATAAGAAAATTTGTGATATTTTCAGCTTTTCAAAAATCAAAACACAAGATATTCAAGAGTTTTTTTTTCTAGCAATGAAAAAAACAAATCCATTCAAGTGCTCGTGCAATGGCACATACTGTCCAATATTACTAATCAGCATGATGTGTACTGTCCCAGTACCTGTCCTGTTAGTGCTTACATCAGGATAGTCAAGAGCCAATTAAATTTGAGAATTTTGTCATAGTTACGATCAGCCACATTAATAACACTGATCAATCTTTCTTATTGGGTGTGTTTTCTCTCCCTAGGTATGGAGCCACCAGAGCTATTGTCATCGCTATAACATGTACATTTTTTGAGTTTTTTAACATCCCTGTGTTCTGGCCAATCTTAGTCATGTACTTTATTGTTCTTTTTGTCATCACAATGAAGAGACAAATAAAGGTAAGCAATACACAGTTACTGTAACAAACTCTTCACTGTGTAAGTGATTTTGAAACAAGTTACAAGAGATAATTCTTCTTCTTCAAACGGACATGTGTCTGTCCAAGTCACCAATTTGCTTGCACAAAACAAAATGTGGGCACATACATTCTAGGATACATTGTGTGTGTTTGTTGAAAATTGTGTGTGTTAGCCCATATTTATAAAGGCTGCTAGTGATTCACCTTGTCATCTCATTCGGTTGAAACACCAAAATAGAAGAAGAGTCCTCTCTCTTTGATGTTCTGCAATTGCCAGTTTACATGTAGTCCAGATTAAGAAGAATTCATTTCATACCTGTACATGCACATTTAAAACAAAATTTATTGCTATTAATTTTAACTTAGTTTGTCAAACCTTTCAATCAGTTGTTCTTTTCTTTTTTCCCACTAGCACATGATAAAGTACCGTTATCTTCCATTCACACATGGAAAACAGAAATACAGAGGAAAGGATGACTCTGGAGATGTGTTGAAATGATAAGTTCTTACAACATAACAATATTGTTTAAATACAAAGACTGTACAGCAATATTTTTATTTTAAGTACATAAATAGGCTTCTCTCTGTGACTCACTAGGGATATAACAGTGCCGAGTGTTGAATGAAGGCAAAGTAATTTGTCACAGCTTGGTTTTACATCCTTACAAATATATTATAAGCCCATCTTATAGGACCCAGGGGTTTCAATAAGTACCGATGGCTGACAAAATGTGTCGGCTACCTTGCTCATAGAGGTCGGCTACTTTTTTCCAGAAAGAAGAAGCAACTAGTTTGAATAATGTTGTAAACAAAAAAAATATATCATAAATTCTGAATGAAAATGTAATTATGATGTGTTTTCATTTTGGCCCACTGATTTTACATTATGCTTTAATCATATAAATGCTATATTTCAGTCATTTTTTTCACAAGTTTCTTTATAGGTTTACGCAGAATTTGTTTACGCCCAAAAGTATGTAATTTAGTTTTCATCATTTGTTCATTGATTGTACAAGGAATTGATTGTGTGACTGATAATTCAAGAAAATGTAGCTTTCAATTATTGAAAGCTACATTTTCTTGAATGAAAGACACGCTCTTTTGTCCTCAAATTTATTCCCCAGAACGCTGAAAATCGGATTTTAGGGCTTTGAAATTTCAAAATTTTCTGGGGCAGAACGCTTCCACATCTTATTCAAACTTGCTGGCTATTTCAATTTTTATTGAAACCTCTGAGCATCTAGTTATCAAGAAGCTTGAAATTTTGGTAATAAGATTTTGTAACCCGTTATGTAAAAACCCGGTGATGCTAGAAATTAAAACAGGAGTGTATTTAAGCAAAAAAAAATCAGGGTTCTAGAAGGAACAAAAAATAATAAGAACCTTTTTCTACTTAAATATTAAACCTGTTCAGCAGAAAGCCTTGAATTCCCGTTAGATATAATACAGTGCCTATGTGTAGTCGGTTAAGTCTGTTTCAAGTTAACCAGTATTAAACCTAGTTTTTGAGTTTTATTTCTCAACGTATTGGAAGTATAACCAAGATTGACTTTCACACATCTTCTCATGAATGAGGCCAGCAGTTTTTATTTGCATGAGCTGTCATTTTTTCTTTGGGTTGTATTTGTTGAGATTTTCTAGGTGATTGGATTTTGCTGTTAGAATGCTCACCCAAGAACCATGAGAGTTTTTTTTAGCCAAATTCATTTTCAAGGACTTGAACTCCCATAATAAACCAGACCTTTTGCAGCAAAGATATCTGCCCGAGGTGAATCAAAATAATGATGATGATATCACCTTGACAAGAGTCTATTCTAGTGCGAGTTAATGCTCTTAACAAATTGCTTTATTGCTGTGTGCAATCTGCTTACACCTTTTCATTGATAAGCCTACCACAGTCAATAGCCATCACAAAGTTTTATTTACATGTTGTGATGTGCATGTATGCATGTTGGCTTAGTGTAAGCACATTGCACTTAACGGAATGGTTGCTCTAAGTGGACTTTAACTTTTTTCTCCAAAATTAATGTCATAACCTTCAAACTTGAATTCTTTTTGTTTCAGGAAATGTCCCTACAGACACCATGAAGGGTTTCTTTGGTTAAACCCTCCTACTCCCACCCCCACCCCTCTGGAAGTTTCAGTTAGTTTTAAATGTTCATTTTAACAGTTTGTTTTTTTTGCCCCCCTCCCCTCCCCCACTGAATTTCCAAAGACTCTTTGTGGGGTTTGTATGGACATTTTCTAAAACCATTGCTAAAAACATGTGATCTATGTGACTACATATGCAATTAATCACAATGATTAAATGTTAAAAGCTACAGTGGTATTTAGTTGATGAATGTCATCAAGGTTGGACTTGATTAAGTGTTTACTGGTACTTAAAGAAAACGTAGAATAATAAGGACTTTACCATAATATATTTAAAGAGAATAGGTTCTCTTTTTTCTCTTTTTTTGTGATATCCAGGCATCAAGAGACATTTAGCCTACAAACATGGCAATTGCTTCCGTGGCTTAGAGCAATGAGAGATGGCTGTTATTTGCATGCTAAGAAAACGTAAAGAAGGCTAAATCTGTTAAAAACTGCTCTCTACCATGGAGATCAAAAGTGTTAGGACCTTTCCAGTGATATTAGTAAAACTAGCGACCTCCCTCCTCCCACCCCAAACAATGTTGAATTTTGAGCAATTTTTTTGGGCACAGCATTGTTAGGGGAGGGAGTGGGGTAATGAAGGGATGAACCAGGGGCGTAGCCAGGATTTTTCAAAGGGGGGGTCACAGAGGCTACTCGTTATGTTAAGCTGGGACACCATGCGGGGATTGCCAACTATATATGGTTTATACCGCTGCTCTCCCTCGTGTATCAGCACGCTCAGTCGTATTATCTCGGCATAAAGGCCCATATTAACTAAAGACAAGAGCCGTTGACGAAAATACTTTACAAAAAAACAAATTTTAAAAAAGTGGGCTTTTCAACAATGGCTTTTACGGCCAAGATATTGTCATGGCGTTTTCATTTGTAACAAAATCACTGCAAGAGCAAAGTATAACCATGGCAATACCCTGAGTGGCATTCACCCTGAGGCACTGTCTCACTTTTGACCAGCCAGTGGAACCTAGCGTAGTTACCATAATACTTACCAAAGGGAGAGAAGGGTAGGGCACAAAATAGGGAGGATTTGGGAGTAATAGGGTTGAGCAACGAACTTGGCAACGCAAACGTAATGGCCTGACCTCTGCCAAAAAACTGTAAAAAACCTAAAGGCCCCTGCAAAGCCATAAGCGTGCCCCAAAAATCAGAAGTGAGAGACTGCTAGTCATTATTGTGTTAAGTTAAACTTAGCCTAAATTTCATTAATTAAAATGGTAACAGGACTGAGTGTCATCCAATTTGGTCTGTAATCATGCAAGTGATTATCAAAATCAGATGACCGCATAGCGGGAAACTGATTTGTTTAATCAATTAATCAATATAAGAACATTTGTGATATTTTAAGCTTTTCAAAAATCAAACACAAGATATTCAAGAGTTTTTTTTTTTTTCTAGCAATGAAAAAATAAACCCATTCAAGTGCTCGTGCAATGGCACATACTGTCCAATTACTAATCGGCATGATGTGTAGTGTCCCAGTACCTGTCCTGTTAGTGCTTACATCAGGATAGTCAAGAGCCAATCAAATTTGAGAATTTTGTTATAGTTACAATCAGCCACATTAATAACACTGATCAATCTTTCTTAATGGATGTGTTTTCTCTCCCTAGGTATGGAGCCACCAGAGCTATTGTCATCGCTATAACATGTACATTTTTTGAGTTTTTTAACATCCCTGTTTTCTGGCCAATCTTAGTCATGTACTTTATTGTTCTTTTTGTCATCACAATGAAGAGACAAATAAAGGTAAGCAAAAACACAGTTACTGTAACAAACTCGTCATTATGTAAGTGATTTTGAAACAAGTTACAAGAGATAATTCTTCTTCTTCAAAGGGACATGTGTCTGTCCAAGTCACCAATTTGCTTGCACAAAACAAAATGTGGCACATACATTCAAGGATGCATTGTGTGTGTTTGTTGAAAATTGTGTGTGTTAGCCCATATTTTATAAAGGCTGCTAGTGATTCACCTTGTCATCTCATGCAGTTGAAACACCAAAATAGAAAAAGAGTCCTCTCTCTTTGATGTACTGTAATATTTATTGCCAGTTTACATGTAGTCCAGATTAAGAAGAATTTGTTTCATACCTGTACATGCACATTTAAAACAAAATTTATTGCTATTAATTTTAACTTAAACCTTATGATTAGTTGTTTTTTCTTTTTTCCCACTAGCACATGATAAAGTACCGTTATCTTCCATTCACACATGGAAAACAGAAATACAGAGGAAAGGATGACTCTGGAGATGTGTTGAAATCATAAGTTCTTACAACATAACAATATTGTTTAAATACAAAGACTGTACAGCAATATTTTTATTTTAAGTACATAAATAGACTTCTCTCTGTGACTCACTAGGGATATAACAGTGCCGAGTGTTGAATGAAGGCAAAGTAATTTGTCACAGCTTGGTTTTACATCCTTACAAATATATTATAAGCCCATTTTATAGGACCCAGGGGTTTCAATAAGCACCAATGGCTGACAAAATGCGTCGGCTACCTTGCTCATAGAGGTCGGCTACTTTTTTCTAGAAAGAAAAAGCAACTAGTTTGAATAACGTTGTAAACAAAAAAATTATATCATAAATTCTGAATGAAAACGTAATTATGATGTGTTTTCATTTTGGCCCACTGGTTTTACGTTATGCTTTAGTCATATAAATGCTATATTTCAGTCATTTTTTCACAAGTTTCTTTATAAGTTTACGCAGAATTTGTTTACATGCAAAAGTATGTAATTTAGTTTTCATCATTTGTTCATTGATTATAGGAATTGAAAGCTACATTTTCTTGAATGAAAGACACACTCTTTTGTCCTCAAATTTATTTCCCAGAACGCTGAAAATCGCATTTTAGGGCTTTGAAATTTCAAAATTTTCTGGGACAGAATGCTCCCATATCTTATTCAAACTTGCTGGCTACTTTAATTTTTATTGAAACCCTGGGCATCTAGCTATCAAGAAGCTTGAAATTTTGGTAATAAGATTTTGTAACCCTTTATGTAAAAACCCGGTGATGCTAGAAATTAAAACAGGAGTGTATTTAAGCAGAAAAAAAATCAGGGTTCTAGTAGGAACGAAAAATAATAAGCACCTTTTTCCACTTAAATATTAAACCTGTTCAGCAGAAGACCTTGAATTCCCGTTAGATATAATACAGTGCCTATGTGTAGTCAGTTAAGTCTGTTTCAAGTTAACCAGTATTAAACCTAGTTTTTGAGTTTTATTTCTCAACGTATTGGAAGTATAACCAAGATTGACTTTCACACATCTTCTCATGGATGAGGCCAGCTGTTTGTACTTGCACGAGCTGTGATTTTTTCTTTGGGTTGTATTTGTTTGAGATTTGCTAGGTGATTGGATTTTGCTGTTAGAATGCTCACCTGAGAACCACTCATCAGAGTTTTTTTTTAGCCAAATTCATTTTCAAGGACATGAACTCCCATAATGGACCGGGCCTTTTGCAGCAAAGATATCTGTCCGAGGAGAATCAAAATGATGATGATATCACCTTGACAAGAGTCTATTCTTGTGCGAATTAATGCTCTTAAAAAATTGCTTTGTCGTTGTGTGCAATCTGCTTACACCTTTTCATTGATAAGCCTACCACAGTCAATAGCCATCACAAAGTTTTATTTACATGTTGTGATGTGCATGTATGCTTGTTGGCGTAGTGTAAGCACATTGCACTTGACGGAATGGTTGCTCTAAGTGGACTTAAACTTTTTTCTCCAAAATTAATGTCATAACCTTCAAACTTGAATTCTTTTTGTTTCAGGAAATGTCCCTACAGGCCCCATGAAGGGTTTCTTTGGTCAAACCCTCCCACTCCCACCCCCACCCCTCTGGAAGTTTCAGTTAGTTTTAAATGTTCATTTTAACAGTTTGTTTTTTTTGTCCCCCTTCCCTCCCCCACTGAATTTCCAAAGACTCTTTGTGGGGTTTGTATGGACATTTTCGAAAACCCTTGTAAAAACATGTGATCTATGTGACTACATATGCAGTTAATCACAATGATTAAATGTTAAAAGCTAGTAGTATTTAGTTGATGAATGTCATCAAGGTTGGACTTGATTAAGTGTTTACTGGTACTGAAAGAAAACCTAGAATAATAACGACTTTACCATAACATATTTAAAGAGAATAGGTTCTCTTTTTTGTGATATCCAGGCATCAAGAGAAATTTAACCTGCAAACATGGCCATTGCTTCCGTGGCTTAGAGCAATGAGAGATGGCTGTTCTTTGCATGCTAAGAAAACGTAAAGAAGGCTTAATCTGTTAAAAACTGCTCCCTACCATGGAGATCAAAAATTTTAGGACCTTTCCAGTGATATTAGTAAAACTAGCGACCTCCCTCCTCCCATGCCAAACAATGTTGAATTTTGAGCCATTCTTTTGGGCACAGCATTGTTAGGGGAGGGAGTGGGGTAATGAAGGGATGAACTGAAAGACGATAAAAAAAATTTCATTAGGAGCAGAGTCCTACGTGACTATTAGTTGTAAGGGTTTTTCCTCAGTGTCCCAAGTTCTTTTGATCTCCATTGTCCCAACCATGGCTTTTCTCCTGGAGCCTGGGAGGGGTGGGGAAAAACAGGGAAAACCCCTGAGGAGGAGCTTGGTGAACCCTTTAAACCCTAAGATCAAACTTTGAATTCTCATTTGTTGCCCCTATTCATTTCCTACGGAAGACGTGGGGAGAAGTTAATAAGATATCCAGCAAATTCATCTTGTTTTATCATATAATAATTATATGTCATAATTGTCATGACCACTCTTTGCTTTACAAAGCATTGATATTACAAGGAGAAATTTGATGCTGATCACTCTTAGGGCTTAAACTAATTTTAAGGAGTTTAGATGAATATGTTAAAACTCTTTTAAGTATCACAATAACCAAAACTAATCAATCTATTTAGTGCAAAACTTTGCAAAATGTTATGGATAATTAGANTAATTGTCATGACCACTCTTTGCTTTACAAAGCATTGATATTACAAGGAGAAATTTGATGCTGATCACTCTTAGGGCTTAAACTAATTTTAAGGAGTTTAGATGAATATGTTAAAACTCTTTTAAGTATCACAATAACCAAAACTAATCAATCTATTTAGTGCAAAACTTTGCAAAATGTTATGGATAATTAGAATACATCCATCTTCCTTTGATTTTCTTATGGTAAATTGTTTATGAGTTTGACAAAGTTTTATGACAGTTTTGAGTTTTACATTATCACAAGTGAATAAAATAAACCATACCTTTCTGTTATTATGGATAGGTAATGACTCGAAGTGGTGCGCATCAAGAACGCCACTTCCTGGCCCCAGTTGTTCCAAACATGGATAGCACTGTCCACTGGATAAATCTCTATCCAATGGATAACACAATTAGTTTTCCTAAAACTTGTCTGCTGGATAGTGATTTATCTGGTGGACAGCGCCCGTTGTTTGAACAACCAAGGCTGATGCTCATTTTTGTGACACTTTCACTGAGGTTGAACTGAACACCCACACAGCTGTTCAGTGTCCTGTTACTCATCAACACTTCCCCCCAAAGAAACCTTCATTCCTCCTTTTCTTTGGAGAGGAGCATTGCGTGACGAGGTTAAGAACGGCTGCGTGGGAGACTGAGGTTTCTCTCGTTTTATTTGTGTATAAGCTGCCCCTAAGTGTCCCAGGACAGTTGAGGGCCAAATGCCTTATTTAATTCCTTTGCTTATTGTAGCATGGATAATACTAAAATTAACATTTTTATTGTCCATGAAACTTCAGTAGAGGACAGAATTAGTTGAGGAATGTTACCCTCCACGATATTTCTCAGTTTTGCCGACACTATACTTTAAACGTGAAAAAGCTAGTTACAGGCTAAGAAAAAGTAAGCCTTCCTCTGCTCATCCCCCAATGTTCTTTCGCGTTTAAAGTTCGCCTTATGAAACAACAAACAAGCCAACTTTATAAAGTCCAGATTGTTTTTATTCCGAAATTTGCAACATTTGATGTCAGTGCCTCGGTCACCTTTTGGTCACTCAGTGCCGTAGCCAGACCAAACGGCCAACCGAGGCAGGCGGGAGTTGCTAGGGGGGTTCGGGGGCATGCCCCCCCCCCCCCCCCCCCCCCCCCCCCACCCTCTCATCCTCTCCCCCTAGCGTGCCG